TGAAAAAGACGAAAAAGGAGTTATTCTGAGAGAAGTGGTTGAAAGTTAAGAGTTCAATGTCATCTGATCGTAGAGAACACCAAAAATGAAGTCTGAGCGCGTGTGGTAGCACTGTGATTAGAAGTGTCGTGCAGTGCAGATAGTCCTGCATCCTGGTTTAACATAATTCCCACTTTTCTTAGATTGGTTAGTTCGGTACCAAACATGTTTAAGTGCATAAAAGGTACTAAATCAAAGCGAACTGAGTGGTGAGCAAAAGCGCAGCCTCAGACAGGAGTCGAATCCGAGTTTTATCCACACAGAATTCTCGAGTATTGAATCAAAGCGTGAGAATGCCCAGAAAGTGACTGTACAGACAAAATAAATGGATTAACAACCTATGATGGGGCTACGAATGACGTTCCTGATCTATTATGGACTTATTGCTTTGATAGGGAGAAATCCTAACTTGTTTTACTACTGATCGAGTGTTGTTGATAGTAATCTGAACGAACGTCGTCCATACAAATAATAGTAAAGTTGAAAGCGACGCTATTGGAGAAGATCAACGTTAAACAGATGATTGACAGAGCAAGCACCATATAACGAGTTCGATTGCAGAAATACACCATCTGGAAAAATAACAAGATAGATCAAGTAGCACATTAATATAAAAAAATTCAGTATAACAGAATCAATATTCACAACGAACGAACGACTTGAACGGAAAAGCAGTAAAGCAGAGATTGCTTCCCAATGATAAGCCATATCAGACTAGTGCAAATGAAGCTGCCATTCAGAACCGTGAATTTCCAATATTTATATAGTGGAATAAATTATGAAATGAACGTGGTTCTCTTATAAATGATTCCAAAAGCATTTTCGCTTTATTTTTTGTTGCGGATAACATACTACTTGGTACAAGTATACCCACTGATGTAGAGTAATGTGCAAAACTTTCACGTCAGGCCCGACGGAAGTCGTACCCGCATCTTGCTCTATACGGAAGCACGTGCTCTAATCCGTTGCACCACTGACGATCGTTTTGCTCACCTCTCACCCAGTCATGCTGCTGGATACTGTGTATTAGATGATTGACCTACTGCTAGAAGCGGTTAAATAAAAAGCAACTCCATTCGATGTTTATATTTGTAATTCAGTGTGTGTCAGAGTGACTGGGTCCAATGTCGATTTTGACTCCCTACTTTGGTGGTTGTTTGCTGACAGATGTATGCATTATAGCGTAAAGAGAAAGGTGGCAAAATACGAGTCGTTGGTGCAACGGGTTAGAATACGCGTTCCAGGGAAGCGAAATCGAGTCGCGCTTAACGCGAAAGTTTTGCACATCATTCTACCTCAATGGTTATATTTGTAACATCATACTACCGCTAGAAGCGGTGGAATATCTCTTGTTGATCGCTTTACATTTGTTTTGAACTATGAAAAGGATGTTAGACAAATAGCGAAATCTACTGATTTTCTTAATCGAGGTTAAATTGGCTCGTTAAAAAGCAGAGACAGCTTGAAACATCAACAACGCATATGGTTTAGGAACTGATAACAATATAAAGTGTCAGTAGTGGTTCAAAAAGTTTCGCAAAGGACACGATAGCCTGGGAAATAACGTAGGAAAAATGAACCGATTTGGGGCAGTCATCGAAGCTGGTCCACTGGAGGCTTGACGAGATAGTGCAAGATTTAACGCCAGTTCACATTTGGAGCAAAGTACAAAAGCATTTCCACACTAATTCAAAGCTGCAATTACTTTTCCACCAGCCTTCCATAAGATTATATCTAACGACGGATAGAGGTTTGAGCAAAGAGATGAAGTGAAAACTAAACTTAAGCAAGAAGTAACAACTTCACTTTTTATTTGCTCTCCTTGTTTCCTTTATTCCATCATTTCTCTCTCCTCTTTATTCTCCTCTCGCCCTCTCCCTCCTTTGATCGTTCTTTCCCGCTCTCTCCTGGTTGTCGTCTTATAAACGTCTTCATCAAAAATAACTACCGCGATGAAAAAGCAGCAGTGAAAAACAAATGACGTGATGTATTCTGTTTTCAGCCTTTTGGAAGTTTTGGTAAGCCAGTGGTCTGCTTACCAAAACCTCAAGAAGGCTGAGAACAGTCCTTCAGAATACATCAAAGCTATTTAGATAACAACCGAGAAAGAGAAATGTTTATAGAGATCAGTGACAGCCACGTGTCATCGATTGCAGATATCTTAGACATCGTATCGCGTCATCTGATCTTATCATTGCGTGCTTATATGTAGAATACCTAATGGGACAGGTGGCTCTGAGGACGCGGGCGAGACCGCCGAAACGTACGTTAGGCACTGATGTATTTAGGCCCCTAAAAGACTAAAAGCAGCCTTTGGATCGTATTGAAATTTCTTTAACCAGGTTAAGAACATTTGATTGGAAAAAATTGCATGATGTTTTATAGTGCGACAGGACTTTCGGTGGCCCAAGTTTCTAGGAACGTCCACTTCCGTCATTTGGATGGGGTCTGTTCTTACATCGTCATTTTTTCTAAAGGGAATCGAGTTAAATGTCCATAGCTGCTCATTTTTTGAAACAGACCATTTCAAAACGCTGGTCGATTGATTGGCCCCTCCGCGACCATGGAAAAGTACGATTTTTGTTATTCAATTAGGAATTGTTTCTCGAAACTTCAGATCAACCGTTTGACTCGAATGCTAAAAGATTTTCTCTACACATCCATGTAGTTTTCGTGCTTCTAGCGAAGCAATGGTTGAATTCCGAGGTTGACATGAGCATAATTTTGTTTTTTAACAGCGTGATAAAAGAGTTTTTGAAAATTGGCCACATACGGTTCTAAGCAAAAACTCAAGTTTTTAAATGCTCACTAACACTCTTATAAAAAGTTTTTGTGCAGCGGATGCGGTTGAATATTCATTTGTTCCCTTATAACTGAAAAGAACTCAGAAGCCTACGTTGCGTAATTGAACCGCTGTAGATTGTCCACCCTAACCTGTACGGTTCTGAAGAAGGAAGACGAAGATATCGAAACTTTTAAATGGACAAATGCTGCTATAACAACCTCGTGTTTCAAATAAACATAACATTTTTCATTTTCCGTTCTTATAACACTACTGTGATGTCACAATTATACTAAAGAAGCTAAGTGACATGTACTGCTTCCGATTTGAGGAGGAAGTTAAACATGCTACCATTACTTCACCGGGTCGCCGCTTTGCTATCACACTTCTTGTTGATACAGCTCCTCAAAGTCGTCAGAGTGGAGCAAAGTCAGTCTGTATCAAGGCTGGTAGCACGCGTCCACTGTAGGTAAAACCTTGTGTCAGTCATTTGAAAAAAAAACGACTTCCCACAATTCTCCTATAAGCTGCCAGCCAGTAGAATTCATCTTAAACGTTCACCATGAGGGCCATGTATGGTCAGGGTAAAATACATATATCATGTAGGCAATTTTTCGCGCTTTCGTGCTGAATAAGTCGCATAAGTCTCTTTTATCTCGCTTGATGACACACACTCAATTTAGAGCACACTCAAAATTCTTTTTGTTTCGTTTGCATTATGACTTCCCTGTCCATTGTTTCATGTTATGTAGATATAAGTTGTTGTCTTCCGTTAGGACTTATTTCAGACCATCTTTGTCCAAAGTAAATGAAGTTCACGCTGGCTTAGCTGCTTACATGTATAATTAGGCAGCTCGCTTCGTAAAAGAACGCGAATTCAGCATAGTCATTATTTAGTTTTTTTTTTTTTGAACTATGATTGTCGTACGCGAGGTTATATGCTCCGAATTGTAGTCCATAGTGGTGGTCCGCTTCCTATTCAGTTATGCTCGCTAGCTCATTTCGTAGTCTAACAACCGCTCCCAACTAGGAATGCAATGGTAGACGCCAGCCACGCTGAGTCACCGAATTTGATCCGGAATTCAAAAAAATCTTTCCAAGTAATCGATATCATAAAAAATATTAATCGATGTATTCTCCTTCTACCTGGATACAATTGTGCCAACGTTCCAGCAACAAATCAATTCCACGCTCACAAAACTCACTATTCTTTGATGCAAACCAACCAATCGACGCAAATGATTGATGTCTCGAAACTTCTTCTTATCCAACAAGTGCTGCAGTGATCTGAAAAGATGGAAATTGGACGGAGACAGATCTGATGAATACGGGGTATGATCCAGGAGCTCCCAGCCCAAATCGGTCATCTTCTTCCTTGTTTCCTGGGCAATGTGTGGCTTTCCATTGTCTTAGAGCAAAATGACTTGGCGACGGCGGTGACGTGAACGGTGCTTGATTGCAAAGGTCCAATTGCTGACAATTTCGCTCGGCGCTGCTGGGTCTGATCGGCTTGCAACAATTCACAATGAATCGGCCCACATCGCTCCCGAAAAATGATTAACATTGCTTTTGGTGCAAATTGATTGATCTCAGTGGTGGTGTTACTAGATTTGGTCTCAGCGTGCTGCTCCTTAATGACTTGGTGATAGCCACGATATGGACGATGCCGGCTCTTAAAGAAGATCCACTTCTCATCAGTGGTGACAATTTTGTCTGAAAACGAAGAGCGGCGATGAAGACGAAGACGAGCTTGCGCAATTTGCTTTTTCTTGCTCTCTTAAGCTTGTGTAAGATCGTGCGGAATCCATTGCCCTTGCTCCGTTTCTTGCCTGCATTTTCCAAAATCTTCCGAATCTGCGATTGTTGAACGAGTATGTGCAAACATACACAAAACTATGGGTAAAAAATTCTGCTCTGAGTAGGAAATACTCGAAATTTCTAGTAGTTTGCTGCATTTTTCGCAGTGTTATGATATTTCGTGTATACCTAAGGGAAATAGAAAAAATAAAAATGATATAAAAATAAAAAGAAGGACTGGAAGCTTTTAGTATTAGTTATTACAATGGCTGTCAGCCCAACTGGGTTTATAAAGCAAAATCGCATACCCGACCAAGCCTATTAAAGGTTGTAGCTGATAGCTAACATAGCGAAGTAGAAGATTGAAAGGTGGTGCAAATTCGCCTGTGTGGTGTAGTGGTAGGTGCACGCGTCCCCGGTATGGATGAAACACGGGCTCGATTCCCGCTTGAGGCCGTGTTTTTGCTAGCCACTCAATTCTCTTAAGTATATACAAAATAGATAAGAGGCAAATTTGTATTTAAGGAAAATTTTTATTTCCTGGATCACGTTCGGGAACTTAGTTGGAGACCTACTAGTGGAAGACTTGCTCTGAAATTCCATAGATAAGAGCGGCATTGTTTTTGCAAAAAAAGCAGACAAGTACGCGCGCAAATTTAGAATGAAATATTTTCGCAAGTTTTTTTTTCTACTTCAGCAACAATAAGAATGAAGAAAAATTTCTAAAAATAACCAATTCAATAAAATCAATGAAAATCACTAAAGTTACTATTAAGTACTACTGTGCAGCACAGGCAGCTCTTCTCTATGAAATTTTAAGCTACTTCGCGTACTCTGCGGGTGCTGTACAAATTTCTTGGCATGGTTTCACGCGTCAGCTCATGTCTCTGCTGCATAACAAAGTGCTGAGAAGAGAGCTGAGTACTTGTCTTCTATCCGCATCTCTGTTCAAAAAGAAACATATCTTTTCCTCTTTCTAGATATTTAAGTAGTCATGTGATAGCTTAAATTCGAAAGTCTTAACGGTGTATTTTATTTTCTGAATTTCCTTTGTGTTACTCTGTAAGAGTGAAAATAAAATTCTATTCCACACTTAAGCATTTTCCGCTGATTATACAGCTTTTCTCTCAGACTTACAAAAATCATTCGATAGCACAAATCTTATCGATTTCAGCGTTGTGCTTAATTTTGAAAAGAATAATACTTTGCCGTTAGACAACACGGGATGAGAAAATGAACCCTCTCGCTGGACAAGAACTTTTCATACGAGTGTCAGTATTCATTTAAAAGCTTTTATCACTAACTACTGCTCTATGTAGCCGTTTATTGAAAGAATCTTCTTAACACTGTAATAGAAAGAAAATACTTGTGTTTCATACACGCGCTTTTTAAATAGGATAAAGTTTTTCCATTGAACTCTTGTAGATAGCGTAAGATTCAACAATTTCAACTCTGTGCTTATTTTTTGGAAAGACCTTTTCTCTACACTATAGCGGGAAAAATAAAAATGATTCACATACGCGGACATTTGTTTTTAGCTAATCTATAGGCTGGGAAGGGGAGGTGGGGAGGAGAGAGGAACAGGGGTGCTGCCCGCGGTTTCACGGCTATCGATCGATGACGCCTAGGCGGCTCACAGGTGAAGTGTAATTATTGTTGTTCAATAAGCAACTTTTTCTCCGCTCGGAAAGAAACTCCAGATGAAATGTTTTTTATAGACTAAAAGATTTCTCAAACCTCACGCGTTTTTCGCGCCTCCAGCGAGGTAATAGTAAAATTGCGCGGCCGATGCAAAACATAATTCTATCCTGAATTTCTACAGCTTTATAAGGGTGTTTCAATGAACAGTCACGTAGAGCAGTAGAAAGAGATTTATGCTTTTGAATGATTACTGGCACTCTTATGAAAAGTTCTTGCCTAGCGAAAAGGATCGCTTCTTCATCCCGTACTGTATAAGCGGAAAATCAAAAGTATCTCGTGGTACGTTGTTATAGCTAGAGGAATATTTTTATTGGCACTTGGTACGCACCTCTCAAAGTAAAAGAACAGCAGGTTCTGCCTTGACAAGTCTGACAGGACGAAACACGTGTATCGTGCTGTACAAGAGCCCTTACCAGACTACATGACAAGTTGGCTCAAAAATGATGAAAGGATCTATTGAAATTTGAGCGCGGTCTTAACAAAACGCTAGAAATAAAGGTGAAAAAACCGCTGATACGAAGAAAAGGTGAATGTTCTCAATCCAGTTTCCAACAGTAATCCTGACCCTGTCGCGACACCTAAACTTGTAGCAACGCCAAACCCTTTGTGAGCAGAACTGAACCTACATTCGATATCCTTTCTTGCATCAACGTTTAGCACGTCCTCTTTTTGTAAAAACTCAACTGCTTTTTTTCAGTAGTTGGTAGAGCAAAAGTATACAAAAATAAGAAAATTCAATGAAAGATAGGAAACATTTGTGAGAAAGTTGAGAAGCCGTGACTTGATGCCGCTTACCGCGAATGTTCCGAAATCGCGATGGCTTCATGCTAATGTTGTAAAATCTATCCACATACTCGCACAAGCTATACGCGCCGCACGTGAAATAAAATTTTTAATTTTAGTGTTACAGCGCAGTAATACGTTTTTTCGGAAAAACAGAAGCAACACTAACTTTGTCAAAATTTTTGCTATCAAATAATCAGCGAATTCTAATAAAGTCTTTACTCTCAAAAATGCCTTAGTGCTAGATAAAATTTTGTTTCACTTTTACAGCATAGAATGAATGCTATAGTAGAAATGAAATACGCCGTTGAAACTCCTGAATCTCAAACTGCCGAGTGACTACTAAAATGTTCACAAAAATCAAAAATGCTTATTTGCGAATATGCGTGAGGATAGGGGAATAGTACCGACTGTTGATATAAAGGATGAGCACAATGTCTGCATCCGTTAGTTGATTGGTGGCTTCTTCAAACGACTCAAATGTAACCATGTTGCTCTTATTCTTCTGCTTAATTCGTTTCCAATGTTCTCTATGTTCATTAAACTTCCAAGGTACGCAAGGTGCTCTCTGCAATCCGAAAACTAACAAGTGGAACCTGTTTACCTTTACACTATAAATTCTCCATGAAACGGGTTTTCCTGTTATTTATGGAAGTCCTATCTTTCTTCTCGCGTCGTTGAAACTATTAAATATCGTCTCTGCTTCACTGATACCCTTCAAAAAATCACGATTTCTTCATTAATGCGAAAGTTGTAAAAATTTTGGTTCAATTCGGTTTAAGGAAACAAATGAGCATTCGACCACATTTGCATCGCAACAACTTTCTATAAGACTGCTAGTAATCACTCAAAAGTTTAAATCTCTGGCTATCGCCTTACATAGGCGTTTTGTGGAAAATCTCTTTAAGCGCTGTAGCATTCAGGAAGATTTATGTTTAACATGTTTCTGTTTCACATGTTCACATGTTTATGTTTCTGGCTCGCTTGCCTTTTTATCGCGCGCATAATTTGTTGGAAGCGAGAAAAGCACATGAGTGTGTAGAGGAACTCGTAATATATAAGTCAGTAGTTTGATTTAGGGTTTCTGTCAAAGTGAAAAATGAACTCTCAACTTGATAATAAGCTGCACCCCACATATCTAACGTTCTGGGCATCGATCAATCGCCTCGCCTTCAGCACGTAGATTAACCGGTAATCAAGCTCACCGAATATGTGCAGATCGCGCTTATTTTCCGTGCTACACCGCAGTGAAATGGTCTTTCCGAAAAGTAAGCGCAGCGCTGGAGTCATTGAAACATATGCTTTCGGATGACTATTAATAGTCTAAAGAAAGAGCTCTGCCCGGTGAGGTGTAAAAGACAAATTCTCTCTTCCTTCTACAGCACTATCAAAAGAGGTATTCCAGAAGCCCACAAAGTTTTTAGTTCTTTAAAACTTGTGCTATCGAAAGATTACAGCAGTCTAGGAAAGGAGTGTTGTCCAACGAAATATAGGCAAGATAAAAAAAAACGGCGTGGACGTGGGCAACATAATTTTACGTTGGATTTCATAGTGCTATAAAAGGTGTTTTAAAAACTGGCAGAGCATCGCGCTAGTCGGAGTTTCAAGTTTCAAATGATTTCTAACATTCTTATGGAAAACTCTTGTACAGCGAATTAAGTAGAATATTCATTTGCTCCCTCATAACCAAAGAGAACAGAATTTTCATCAATGCGTATGCACTTTTGCTTCCGCTCAAGTGAATTAACGTCCACTGCATTGCGACTTTTAACATCCTTGGCAAGTCGATGTCCTTTTGTCAAAACCGATTTCTCATGAGAATGGTGTAGACGGATGGAAAAATATTCTTGTACTGCATCTGCAAAAGCACCCGACCAGTTCTCATGTCGGATCAGTCCTCTCGACAAATATCAAAGGAATGCATTCGCTCCGTCGTTGTAGAAGGTCTCTTCGTACTTATAAAGGCTAAAAATGGGGGTCAGTGATACTCCTAAGCCAATTTTTTGATAATCCGTAGCACAATTCAGTTGTACACAGCATCATGTGTAATTTACTTTTGTTCCCTCCAGTCACTTTCCCAGACAGCATGAAGGCGAGCGATGTCCACCTTTGACCTATGCTTTCTCTTTTCAGTAGTAAAATGTCATATGGATCACGGAAACTACGTGTAATTTGTGAACTCCAGCTCCGAGAAGGTCGCCGTTGACATCATTGCGTTAAAAATTTTTTTTTGACATAATTTACCCTAGATCGAAATTCAAGATAAGGAGAATTGTAAGTAGCTTCTCTCAATCAGGAATTCAGTATCTAAGATGTGAATCGAGAAATGGAAAAGGTCCATTCCTGCCACAAGGAGTTCCGAGGATGTCTCTTCTTTCATATTTGCTTATTTACTGCAAACAAAATTTCCTTTAGTAACGATAAATATCTATATTCTATTAGAAAAGTACCACAACGTCATTGCTGCCGCCGCATATGTGGCGGCGCGGCGCGGCAGCGCGACAAGCAGGATTTCAACGCCGTTTCCAACGTGTTACCAGCGAGGGTTGGAAGGTGAGGAAAATTTTATTCAGAATTAACGAAGAATTTTCAGTTTACCGCTCTCATAAGCAGTGCGGAATGTTATATTTGTTTATCCAAAGATACCGAGTGATATGCAAAACTTCCGACCTCAGGCGGGCGTTGAACCCTCGTTTTACCCATACCGGAAGCGCATGTTACCACTCTTTTGATGTAAAGCAGCAAGACTTTCGGCAGCCAACCGTCAAAGAGTTTGGTTCAGTGTGCAGATACCGCCATTACACCCAGTCAACCTGACAGCATCTGAATAATATCGCTTGGAGACGAAAGTTATGGATATTACTCAACACCTTTAGATTTAGTGAGAGTAACATCGTCTGCGCGACTCTTCTCTTTCTTGGATGATGATATCTCGTTCCAGCTTGTGGCTAGATGATTTTTACAAGAAAAGA